TTTTTTAGTACCACTTCGGTTGGGGTTCCAAGCGAACCGTACCGTTACCAAAACGTGACGTGTAAACTCTGCTGATCACGGATTGGCCGGAGAGAATCGTCACTACCTGCGTCACTGAACTTGAACAAACACAAAAGAACCGCTAGATTTAAATCAGCACAGCCAGCGAAGGATCGAATGCAACTGTTTTGAACGAGCGCACCTTTTTTTAACAACCAAAAAGTGGCTGTTCCCCCTGTTGAGGAAGTACAGACGTTGCTCTCGTTGATAGCAGAGGAGCGGATCCAGTGAGAGCTTGATGGGGCGACGCGGAATGAAAAAGTTTTTTAGGAGTCGCGGCAGTAGAGGCGGCGCAACTATAATGACATGTGAATAATCCCGCCCACTCTAAAGCGATACTAAACTGCAGTGGAAACGCAAACCGAGCCGAACCGAGCCGTGCCGTACCGTACTGAGCCGTACCGAGCCAAGTCGTACCATGCAGTGGAAAAGCGCCATAACTCGCAACCAAGACCGGTCACTGATCGCATATTTTCAAGCCAGTCTCAAGGACTCACTAAAAGACCAGCTGCCCATCTAAGGTTTTTGGGGGACATTCAAAGACTTTGTGGAAGACGCACTCCTCCTGAGTTGGGTCCCCCTTCTCTGTGGGTGAGGAGGAAGAAGATCTGCTCAGCCCCACGCCAACCACGGACCTATAGTCAGAGCCCGTGCCTGCCACAGAGCTTGAGGCCACTCCCGCTATGGAGCCAGCCACCAGGTTTGTCCTGGAGCCAGAGCCCACCACCTTGTTCATCTCCGAATCTGAGCCAGAAGCCATGTCCGTCCAGAAGGGGAATAAATGGACTTTAGAGATCTGGACTTAATTCTAGCCCATACTCCTTGAGGTCCTTCCTCCTGTGTCGAGCATGATGGACTCCCTATCCACTGATCCTGCCTAGCCTCCAGGTTCCTTGTCCTTGCTTGTTCCATTCAGCTCTTCCTCCTTCCCTCTGGCTCCACTGTTGTCCTTGCTTACTCCAGCTCCACAGTGGCCCTCCGAGCCCATGCCTTTAGCTCGGTTCTGCAAGTCATCGAATCCTCCTTAAAAAAACAGCTTGATAGATTTGCTTCTTAAAAACATGCAGCTTTTCACTTCACAAGATGGTTAGTTCACCCAAAAATGAAAATTAGCCCATGAATTACTCACCCTCAAGGCATCCTAGGTGTATATGACTTTCTTCTTTCAGACGAATCCAGTCGGAGTTATATAAAAAATTGTCTTTGATCTTTCAAGCTGTTTAATGGCACTCAGCAGGTGTTGCAGTTCATCAGTCCAAAAGAAGTGAAATAAAGCGCATCCATCCATAATAAAAAGTACCTCACACGGCTGCGGGGGGTGAACAAAGGCCTCCTGTTGTGAATCAATGCGTTTTTGTAAGAAAAATTACCATATTTAAAACGTAACAATCAATTTAATCTAGCTTTTTTGGGTGAACTATCCCTTTAATTGATGGCCTGGAGACATGTGGATTACTTGTGGATTATTGTGATGTTTTTATCAGCTGTTTGGACTCTCATTCTGACGGCACCTATTCACTGCAGAGCATCCATTGGTGAGCAAGTGATGTAACTTGATGAGTGATGTGCTCCCAGAAGAGGTGAGTTTTCAGCTGTCAGGGATTTGTCTGTCTGTTTAAGGTTTGGAATATCATTCCTTTAGTGAAGAACAGTGAACGAGAACGTTTGGAAAATGATTTTGTGATTAAAATACCATGAGCGCCGCTTGCTCACTGCCGTTTGTGGTTGGCAGATGCCAGTAATTTAGCCATGACTATCTTATATGAATGCCTTTATTTTGGAATGCATATGCAAATATGTTTTGCATATGAAATAAATTTCCTTTGTTTTGTTGGGCACTTTGTTGACGTGAACTACTTAGTTACTATGAAAACACACTGCCTTTGACCCTCAGATGAAGATGAATTTACTCAGTGTGTGTGTGTGTGTGTGTGTGTGTGTGGTGCAGGTACACTCATCTGCGTCAGACAGCTCAGTGATGAGCTCCTCTCGCATTCAGATCATCTCCACTGACCCCTCTGTCACAACCCCTCAGAGAATACAGGTTCACACACAAGCGCACACACTTGCTTTATTGTAGATGGTGCACTGACACATTCAGACACACTC